TTGAACCGCCAGCCGTCTGGTTAGCAGGCAAGTGTCTTAGTCACTATGCTACTACAGGGTCTTTATTAGTTGGAATTGACTCAGTGGCAGTGGGGCGTTTTTTAAATTTTTGTGGTCACCAGGGTAAATAAGTGTTCTGGTTGCTCCACATCCTCTCTTCGAATCATCAGGGTTTGTTGGTTTGTTTGTTCACTTTATGATTCATCCTAAAAACCGTGCAGTGGTTTCTCGTGATTTAATTTGTAATATCTTAATTTAAATGTACTTATCTGCCACGTGTTTCTCTTCTTTGGTGAAGTGTAAGATCCTATCTTTTGCCTATTTTTAACTTTTTTTTTTTGCTTGCTTCTTGTTTTGTTTTGAAAGTCCTTCATATATGGTGGATATAAGTCACTTGTGAGCTATGTACTTTGCTTATATTTTCTCCCAGTCTGTGTCTTTTTATTTTTACTCTCTGTGATAGTTGGAGCTGTGTGTCAGCTTGGCTGGACGCAGTTCGGTGTGGTTGTTCCCATGATGGGATCGGATGACTGTGTTCTGAGTGGGCAGTCTGCCCAAGGGGAGTTTCCCTAGGGGTGTGGCCTGCTTCCAAGATATGCAGGGACATCCTGGGAAGAGAGACATTCTTTGAGGGATTGGAACCCTGGTGTGCGGACTACAAACTTCCTGAGGGAGCAGCCCACCGCTCGGCCTGGAGATCTTGGATTCGTCTTTTGTTGGAGTCAACAACCAGTGTACTGCCTGCCAGCCTGGAATTGCTCCACCCCCTGCGCTTATGGAAGCTAAGGCTGCCACCAGCCCGAAGTTTCCTCCAGGGACTTTGGACTTGCCGGCTTCTATACGTTTGTGAGCCATTTTCCTAAGATAAATTTCTCTCTCTCTCTACATGCTGTGTTGGTTTTTGTGTTTCTCTAGAGAACCCAATCTAACACACTCTCTAAAGAGCATCTTTTACAGAACACCAGGCTCTATCCCCAAAAACGTGGGACACATGAGATGACCATGCAGTGTGTCAGGACGTGGGAGGACAGAGCAAGGAGGAAAGAGATGGATGAGGCCATTCAGGGCGTATGAAGGTCATAGGAACTCATTGAGCGCCTCTGGAAAACGCAGAGATGGAACTAAGGAGAGTTCTCTGTTCCCTGTTCCTCCGTCACAGACCGCGGCTTCCTCCTTGACCTGGGAACAGAGCGACAACTGCCCACTCAAAACAGGATTCTGTGGTTTGGAGCCTTCCTTCTTCACCTCTCGGAATCTAGGTCACAGCCAGTCCTCTCGCTCGTCCCAAACCAGGCAGCACAGAGCTAGCAGCCCCGCCGTCTCAGCCGGGGACCCCGTCACGGACTCCATGGGCTGTTGTCTCTCTCTCGCCTGGAGCTGCGTCAAACACAGAAGGAGGCGGGTCAGTGCAGGAGATCCCGGGTGGAGTGGGAAAACAAGGTGCAACAAAACTCAGAATCATAAAAAGGATCAGGCTCACTGTCTGCGAGAGCCTGGTGAGACCGCGAGACCATGGCCCCTGGTTCCCCTTCAGGTGTGGAATCGAACTCACTCCCCTGGCTTCCAGCCAAACAACAGACAGAAACATGGGGTGAACATTTACATCAGGTAGATACACTCCTTAGAATGATCAATCCTGGGAGAACAGAAGGGCAGTGTTTGCACAGGGAGACAGCTCAGGGGGCAGGAGTGCATAGGAAAGAAGGACGCAGGGAAGAGGTAACGACAGGGAGGCGGTGGGAAGGAAGCTGTCACATTGTGGGGAATTGCAGTCAACGTCATGAAACAAAGTGTGTATGAACTGCTGTATGGAAAATGAATTTGCTCTGTAAACGTTCATCCAAATCACAATAAAAATAAAAATAAAAGAAGCAGGAGGAGGCAGATGTCTTCCCATCTGACTTGACTCCTGCTAGTGACTCTGACCGGAAGGAAGAAAGGGGTCGCTTCAGGGCAGTGGGCAGTAGATCCGAGAAGGGAACCGGGATGGTGTGGTAAACAGAACCCTCATTTCCTTCTACACCTTCTAGCCCCTCTGATTCCTCCTTTGTTTCTTTATTTCCCTAAATATTTAACACTGATAATGCTTAGCCCTTATGCGGAGATGTGGTAAGGAAAGCCCCTCACGATGTCCACGTCCTGACCTCTAGAACCTGTGAATATGTTACCTTATGTAGGTGGTCAAAGAGATTCTGCAGATGTGATTGGATTATGTATCTGGAGACAGGTAGATCATGCTGGTGGCATAACGTAATCACAAGGGTCTTGATAAGCGGAAGAATGAAAACGGAAGGGTTACTGTCAGCATCGGAGAGAACTTTGATGTTGCTTCCCTCCTGGCTTTGAAAACGGCTACTCAGGGACAACTTCCTGGTGTCATCCTTGCTCTTCTCTTTCTCGCAATCCTCGTAGCCATTAGAAAGTCCTGCTAGCTTGATCTTCAAATATAGCTAAACGTGTATCCTAGTGACCAACACTACCTCCTGGTCCAAGCCTCCTGGAGCCCAACCTCTCTGTTGTTGTCCTGGTCCCAATCAGGTTTATTCTTAACAGAACAGCCACGGGGAGTCCTATCATGTCTCCTGTCCATTCCAAAGCTTCTGGAGTCTTCCATTGGCCTGCAAGCCCCCTCGTGGTCCGCACCATCCTCCCAGGCGCTCCCCCGTCCTCTGCCTCGGCGCGTGTGTCGGGGAGTCAGGGGAGTGAGGGGTAAGTGGGGCAGAGACTCCCAGCAGCTGGAGAGGTGAGGATGGAGAGGGACCTCGGGTTTACCAATGAGGGGTCTGTGGTCGCCAGGGTGTTAGGGTGTTAGGGTGAGGTGGGGAACCCTGGCCTTGCCCCTGCTCCCAACAGCCCCAGGGAGAGGAGGTAATTCCCACCTGTGCCATTTCAACAGAAGACATTTACGGATTATGGTCATGTTCCATGGAAAGTCTGGGACAGAAAGACACATCGGGGGGAAGGGCGGGTGGACATTGGTCCTACACCCTTAGTGGCTGCATCAGTGGGAAAGGGTTGGGGGCAGGCATCCTCTTATCCCCTCTCAGCCCAGATTCCAGGACCTGACACCTAGTGTTTGAGGTTGACAAACCCTGTCCCAGCCCTGCTTTCTTCAGTTGTTGTTGTGGTTGTTGTTATGTGCCGTCGAGTCAGACCCGACTCATAGCGAGCCCTCCTTGGGTTTCCAAGGCAGTATCACTACGGAAGTAGATTGCCCCATCTTCCTTCCGAGGAGTGGCTGGTGGGTTTGAACCGCCAGCCTTCTGGTAAGCAGTCAAATGCCTTAGCCACTATGCTACCAGAGCTCCCTAACAGGAACCCTGGCATCTCAGCCCAACTCTCGTAGGACACACCGAGCTGGAGAGTCCTCTTCACAGTCACAACAACTCCAGGGAAGGTCAGCTGACAGGTGAGGTCGGTGCTGTGGTCCTGGAGCCATGACATGAGGGTGAGCACTGAAGAGTGGGGGATTTCAGGATTCCTAGGGCTGGGGGGAATGGAGGTCCTTGTGCAGGAGAAGATGGGGACAGCCATTGCTCGCTGGACTAGGGGACAATGCAGGTCAAGTTCCTGGGGTGGCCATATTCCAGGGTCCCCAGAATCTGGGTGTAGGTTGTCTGTGTCAGAGCTCGGGGGGAGAGGGAGAGATGCACGATCGAGAGGGAGCTATTCCAAGTTGTGTCCCTGAGAACAGCTTCCGGTTCTGATCCAGCTCCTCCCCCTGAGTCCAGTGAGCTTCACCCCCACCATGAGGTGCCGGAGGCCCTATCCCTGCGCTGGGGGCCATGAGCCACCGTCCGGCCTCTCTTGGCACTAATCCTTTCCTGTCACATGCACAGCTGGTTAGACGTGTAAGAATATTTCACAGTACTTCCTGTCTCCACCACAAAGAAATATGACCCCTTGTTCTCCTCCAGGCGTCTCTGCTGCCCAAGAAGGAACTGTTGGTCAAGAGACAGAGTCAACTCAATGGCAATGAGTTTGCATTTTTTTGGTGGGTATCTTTGTGGGTAACTTTAAATTTTCTATGCACACAACCATGCTATGTATGAGCAAAAGAAGTTTTACTCCTTCATTTATGATCTGAATATTTTGTATTCCTGTTTTTTTTTTTTTTTTGTGTGTTTGTTTTTTTTTTTTTTTTTTTTTTTTTTTATTGTACTGAGAAGGATCTGTTGTTGTTGTCATTGTTATTTGCCGTCGAGTTGCCCCCAACTCCTAGCGACCCCTCCTTGGGTTTCCGAGGCAGTATCACTACGGAAGTAGATTGCCCAACCTTCCTTCTAAGGAGTGGCTGGTGGGTTTGAACTTCCAACCTTCTGGTTAGCAGTCAAGTGCCTTAGGCACTATGCTACCAGAGCTCCTGGATCAAAGCTAGGGGAAGATAAACAGAACTCTTATATATGTCTCTGGGAGTTACATCTTCTCCAGTCCTTGAGACAGCTTCTCCCTTTGTTCTCCAAGTCCCATATGTCTCCCTCTCACTTTGAATGAGAAGCAAGTATTGTCCTTGGGGACAATACTTTATATAATTGGAATATTACAGTATATACTTTTGCCTTCTGGTGCTCAAAGTTTTATTTCTAAGATTCATCTGGGTTGGTGTGTGTATCAGTAATTTGCTAATTCTTAATGCTATGAAGTATTCCTAATAAGCATGTATGTACATATATGGTGGCTAGCTAGACTGACCTACTTTTGATAAACTTTTGAGTTATTTCTAGTTTGGGGCTCTTATGAAGAGCACTGCTATAAAAACTCTTGTGTTTGGTTTTTGATGCCCCATACATGCATTTCTGTTATAAAATATGTAACAACGGAATCACTTACTAAAGTTTTCCAAATGGTTTCCCAATGTGGTGGTGAAAAGTTCTATTCCTATCATCAGGACATGGTTGTTTTAGTCATGTGTTGCTACCTGAGAAACCATTCCAAAACTTAGTAGCTTAAAAGAGGAATATGCTGTCATCTTTCGCAGATCTATGACTTGACTGGGCGTAGCTGGGTGGTTGTCACTTGGGGTCTTACGGTGGCAGCTGGGGATAAATCATGTGGGTTAGATACCAAGATAGGCCACTCAAGTAGCTGGCCGTTAATACTTGCTATCTGCAGGAAGCTCAGCTAGGATTTGACCAGAGAGCCTGCACATGGCCTCTTTGTGGACTTTGGACTCCTCTCAGCATAGTGACTAGGTTCTGAGAAGGAGTAGCAAAAGACCGACTGTTCCCAGACACCTAGACACGGGTGCCAAAGCTTCGTATGGTCTATCTTTGGACGTTACAGTGTCACTACCCTCACTGGGTGAATTTTTCTTCTAACTTTTCTATGCCTTTTAATTTGCATAAAAATTTCTTTTGTAGATTTTTCAGAATTTTCTGCAATCATAATCATGTCACCAGGAAGTTTTCATTTTTTTTTCAGCTGACTGCCTTTTATTTCTCTATCTTAATGGATTTCACTGTAAATGAGAGTAAAATGTTGAATAGAAGTAGTGAGAACAGATATTCTTGCCTTAGTAGCTTAAAACAGGAATATGCTCTCATCTGTCACAGTTCTATGACTTGACTGGGGAAAGTTTTCAATATTTCACCAAGTATGAGACTAGATGCAGGCTTTTCATATATGCCTTTGATGAGTGTGATGTGATGAATAGCTTTTATATGGCCTTTCTGGTAACATTCTTATAACTCCCACCAAATGATTGATCGAGACTATGGAAATAAGGTGCTGGTGGCCCACCAAGGGGATTGGACAGCTCGCTAATAATACAAAGATACATGGAATGTTTGTGGGGGCAGGACTATGAAAATAAGGTGTCTGGAACCCTAAGGAGGGGATTGGTCAGTTTTGCCATCCTGCTATGCTTAAAATGAGCCACCCCAGAGGTGGAAACAGGGGACCTCTCTGCCGCCAAGAAGGAAGAGCTAAGAGTGGAGCAAGTCCTTTGGACCCAGGATTCCTGCCTCCTAGACCCGGGACACAGAGAGAAAACTTTAGCGCAAGAGATAGTGTGAGACAATGAGACACGGTGGCAGAGAAGCAGAGACAGCGAGGCAGGAGACAGTGTGGTGGGCGTCCCGGGCACAGAGAGAGAAGCTGAGCACTTCAGGAAGAGGCCTGCTGGCAGACGAGGGTGCTCCTGCACTTGATTTGCAGAGCTGACGGCCTTGGTGCCGAGGTACTGGTGGAGGAGTCCCTTACTGTTGTTCTGTGCTGTCGAGTCGACCCGACTCATAGCGACCCCTCCTTGGGTTTCCCAGGCGGTATCACTACGGAAGTAGATTGCCCAACCTTCCTTCCCAGGAGTGGCTGCTGGGTTTGAACCACCAGCCTTCTGGTTAGCAGTCAAGTGCCTTAGGCACTATGCCACCAGAGCTCCTAGGTACTTGTTAGTGGAGCTAGAGAGCTTTGTACCACTTGCCTGAGCAGGGCAGAGGCCAGACTGACGGTTCCAAGGTTCTCGAGGGGCTGAGGGATCAAGAGACTGAGAGGGTCATGCCTGAGACCATGGCTGAGAAGATGCTGTCCTGATGGAAGAACTGTGTCCTGAGGGTTCCTGAACCCGCATTGCAACCTGTTGCTTCTCTAATAAACTCCAAAATCATGACCATTATCTGTGAATTCTGTGTGGCCATTGCCACAAATTATCAAACTCAGCAGAGGAGCAGAGAGTGTGGTGGGAGGGACAGCTGGTGTCGGAATCGATGAAAACTTTGGCGGTGGAGGTATGCCTGCCCTCTGCTTGGCAGGAGTCAGCCTGGGGCTGCATGCTGACAATGTCACACTTTCCCCCTGTGAGTGTGATTCTCAGCATCACCAGCCCGTGGCTGACTCCTGCGAAGCAGAGGGCAGGCATATCTCCCCCTTCAGAAACCCAAGGAGGGGCCACTGTGAGTCAGTTTTTTGGTTTTCCCCTTGTGAAGTTAGGGGAAGTCAGATGGTGTTGTCTGGCCACTTTCATAATAGATTGAAGTTTTCTTCTAGTTCTGTGTCATTGGGTTTTAAAAAAATCAAAAATTTTTTTCAAATGCTTTTTCTGCAGTAATTGAGAGACAGGCATGACTTCTTTCCTCTTATGATGTGAATGTGGTCAATGATACTGATTTTTGAATGTTAAACTCCATTTGGTCATGATACATTATACATATGTAATACATGTTAGATTAAGTTTGCTCATACTTACGTAAAAGTTTTTCTTTTTTTTGTTTTTGTATTCTCTTTTTTTTAATTGTGATTTGGGTGAAAATGTACAGAGCAAATTGACTTTCCATACAGTTCACATACACCTTGTCTCATGACATTGACCACAATTTCCCACAATGCAACAGCTCCCCTCCCACTTCTTCCCAACAGTTAGCTCTTCCCTGTGTCCATCCCTTCATGCACTTCTGCCCCTGAGCTGTCTTCCTGTGCACAAACAGCCCTTCTTTCTCCCATGATTGTTCTCTCCAAGGAGTGTATCTACCTCAGGTACATGTTCAACTCCTATGCCTGTCTTTTGTTCGGCTGGAAGCCAGAGGTGTGGGTTCAGTTCCAGACCCGAAGGGCAGCTAGGGGCCACAGTCTCAGTGGTTCCACCAGGCATTAGGGTTTTTCTGTGTTCATGAAGGGTACTGGTCTGCAACTTTCTTTTCTTGTGATGCCCTGGTTGGGTTTATGTATCAGGCTTACACCCTACCTCACAAAATGAAGTTCCTTCATTCTCCATTTACTAAAAAAGCTTGGGAAACCTTGGTCTTATGTCTTCCTCAAATGTTTCATATAATTCCACAAGCCATGACATCATGGTTAATTAAGTGGTCACTTGTGGTTGGCTGTAATGAACAGACTATGGAGCATGTCCCTGGAAGGACCAAGGAACTGCTGTTACTCATTGCTATGGTAACAATGATGATGACAAAGACTGAGTGGTGGACAGTCTGATTCAAACTGTGCTGGAAAAACTGACCCAAAGCAAGTTATAAACTCAGGTCTTATCTCTTAGGTCACGAAATAGGCAACCTACAGAATTGGGATTTTTGAGGGTGTTTTGGTTCCCTAGTGCCGCTCTGGCAGGAATATACCACAAATGGGATGGCCTAACAAACAGTTTATTCTTACAATTTGGAGGCTTTAAGTCCAAGTTCAAAGTGCCAGGCTCTGCGAGCTGGGGAAAGCCCCTCAACCTCGGAGTCCAGCTCTGCCTCTGCTCCCGGCCCACTGGAGCTAGAGGCGTTTCTTCACTCAGACAGCTGCTGGCTGCTGAGGCTGAGAAGCCCCAAGGTTGACAAGTCAAAAGGAACAGTCCCGATGTTACCAAACCACACGGCAGGCCATTAACTTAAGTCCACTCTAAGTCCCAAGGTCAGCAGAGCATGGCAGGCTGCTGAGCAACGACCCGGCTCCATGCAGGGTCCAAGCGTGCCACAGGCTAGAGACCATTCCCAAGGCTTCTCCTTATATACAGGAAGCAGATCACATCCCAAAGGCAGCTGCTTGTGGTAGATCCCACCATGGAGTTGATTGCCAGTGTCATGGGGAATAACTACCACCAGCTGCCCAGCCAAGTTGACACACAAACATAACCACCACAGAGGGGCTCTATACTATATCGAATCAGCTGCTCTAATGTGTTTACCAAATATACCCCTTAACTTTTGAAATAATTCCAGTGACAAGCAGACTCTGAAACAGGTCCAGACTGTAGCATAAAAATTTCACAACTTGGGGTTTGTAACTCAGAGTATCAAATCATACTTGAAGTGTCTGTGGCAACTAAGAACGTTGCATGCAGTCTCTGATGAACCCCGTGGGGCAGAACTCTGGGTTTTTTGTTAAAAATTACATTTTTGTTTTTCTTTTTTCCAAACACAGTAGTCCCTTTAAGAGCTCCTAACTGGACCATGATAGAGACTGAATGCCTGGCCATAGGACATTAAATGAATATATGATCTGAACTGTCCATCACAAGTTCAAACAAACAAAATCCCTGCCATCAAGTCGAGTCAGACTCATAGTCACCCTCCCATTGGGTTTCGGAGGCTGTAAATGTTTATGGGAGTAGATTGCCCCATCTTCCTTCCATGGACCAGCTGGTGGGTTTGAACAGCTGACCTTCTGGTTAGCAGCCAGATGCCTTATTCACTATGGCACCAGAGCTCCTTATCATGAATCAGGTGTTCCATGACTCTGCAACCCAAAAGGTTGGGCATGTATAGCAGAAATCCATTATTAAGTGAAATGTGTACAAGACACTAGGCTGCAGCAATTCCTAAAGCACAAAGAAATCAAATCCTAAGTAGGTGGCACAGATTCCTGGTGTATTGTCTTATTCATATGAAATAACACCTATGACCTCCTGCACAGTTCTTTATAACCATTGTCTGTCTGAGGGGAAAAGCATTACACTTGCTTTGCCAGTGGTTCTGCACAATACGCTGCCTTAGCTGGAAGCAGACTGTCATAAAACCAAGCCCAGTAAGCCTGAAAGACAGTGCTGAAGGGAAATTATCCTAGTGGCAGAATTTCATCCATACATTTGGTTGTTCCTTTCATCTGAACTCAGAGATGGCCAGAAACATGGATCCACACTGAGTCATGGCTAAAGATCTGGGTAACATATTTTTCCATATTTGTCCAAAACCCACTGCCATCAGGTCAATTCCAACTCATAGCAACCCTGTAGGACAGAATAGAACTGCCCCATAGGGTTTTCAAGGCTGTAAATCTCTATGGAAGCAGACTGCCACATTTTTCTCCCACTGAGTGGCTGGTGTGTTTGAACCACCAACTTTCTGGTTAGCAGCCAAGTTGTTTAACCACTGTGTCACCAGGGCTCCTTCATATTTGTCCATTTCCATTAAATTTTTCAAATTTATGGGAGTGGATAGTTATTTTTGTTAAAAATATCTTTATTTCACCTTAAGTCTTAAAACATTTTCATTGTGTATTATTTCTAAATGAACATTTCTTTCACTCAGGAAATGAACGATGTCTTTCCACTGTGTTCAGACTTCCAATATCACTGCTAATGAATCAGCTGTCAGTCTTAACTGTGGTCTTTTCGATATAATCGGTCACCCCCACCTCCACCTCTGGCTTCTCTTAAGAATTTCCCTTCATCATTGGTTTTCATCAATGTTCTCCAGCTTCACTGAAGGAACAGAAGCTGGGAGATCTAAGAGGAAACTACTGGAATTGACAGGGAATATGGGTGACTGGTGAGAAATGGGGTTGGCGAGGTCTTGTCGTCTTGACTAGAAAAATGAAGAATATGAACATTATTTGGGTGAGTCATGGAAGAGGTTTGAGATGGAAGTGACACAGATAGCTGGTGCTGTGGCCCCTGGGACTTGTCCCTACAAGACTTAGGACAAATTGTCAGCAGAAACTTCCTGTTCAGAGAAGAAACTAGCATTCGTTGACTACATGTTTTGTGTCAGGACTTTTGTGAGCTGTTTTGTATGTGCTCTTGCATGGACCTTTCACCATAACCTGGTTACCTGTTGCCATCAAGTTGATTCCAACTCATGGTGAGACCACAGGCGCAGACAGGACAGCATTCCATAGGGCTTTCAAGGCTGTGACCTTTTGGAAGCCGACTCTCAGGGCTTTCCTTCAAAGTGTCTCTGGGTGGGTTTGAACCACCAATCTTTTGGTTAGGAGTCAAACACTCGATCATTAGCACCACCCAGAGACTACGAATAACCTGGTTATATGGGACTTACTTTCCTGCTTTACAGAACAGTGACGTGAAGCACAGATATATAAAGTGACTTGCTCAACAAGTGACATAGATGGATTTGAACGCAGGTCTCTTGGACACAAATCCTGTGGTTTTCCACATACGTCAGAAAAAAAAAAAACCAGCCAACCCACTGCCATTGAGTTGATTCCAACTCATAGTGACCCCCACTGGGTTTCCAAGGCTGTAAGTCTCTTTACAAAAGTAGATATACTTCACTAAGAAGTCCACTCAAGGCAGTGGGCTCTAGCTGCTCCTCATTATCTTTATCTCTGAGTAGTCAGTACTGGTGCTGTTTTGTTCCTGCAGCTTCAGCTTGTGGAAGTTCAGAGAGGCATAGTGGAGCTCCGGTTCCTCTCCTGAGATGGGGCCGGCCCCAGCAGAGGCCGGGTGGTCTGAAGGGAAGACTCTCTGGAACTTGTGCCTGTGTCCCTGCGTGGATGGAAGAGAGTGGATTCAGAGCAGGCCAGTGGGGTCTAGGAGAAAGCAGCTAAGGAGTAGAGAATTGGGGGCTGCTTAAATTTTTGTCATTTATCCATTCACTTATTCAAAAATACGTAATAATTCAGATTGGCCAGCCCATAGTGAGTGATCGTACTAACCCCATCATGGTCTCAAAAAGTGCTGTAGAGTGGATATTGTCATGGATTGAATTGTGTCCCCACCCCCAAAAAAATATGTCAACGGGGCTGGGTCTTGATTCTCAGTGGTTTGGCAGTTATATAATGGTCCCCCATGATGTGATCTGACTGTGAGAGGATTAGGGTGGAATGCAACACCCTTCATCCCATCACAGCCCTGATCCATGTAAGGGCAGTTTCCCTAGGGTATGGCCGGCAACACCGTTTGTCTTAAAATTGATAAAAGGAGAGAGAGAAGGGAGGACGGAAACAGGAACTTGCTACCTACCATCAAGAAAGAAGAGCTGGGACCAGAGTGTGTCTTTTGGACCCAGGGTCCCTGCATTGAGAAGCTCCTAGACGAGAGGAGACAGGGCAAGAAAGACTTCCCTACAGCTGGTCTCCGAATTCAGACTCTGTCTTCTAAAGGAGCTCTAGGAGCTCTGGTGGCATAGTGCCTAAGGCACTTGACTGCTAACCAGAAGGCTGGCGGTTCAAACCCACCAGCCACTCCTCGGAAGGAAGGTTGGGCAATCTACTTCCGTAGTGATACCGCCTCAGAAACCCAAGGAGGGGTCGCTATGAGTCAGGTCTGGCACATAACAACAACAACAATGTCATTAGGCAGAAGGAAGGTTGGGCAATCTACTTCCGTAGTGATACTGCCTCAGAAACCCAAGGAGGGGTCGCTATGAGTCAGGTCTGGCACATAACAACAACAACAAAGGAGCTGTGGTGGCACAGTGCCTAAGGCATTTTTCTGCTAACCAGCTGGCAGTTCAAACCCACCAGCATCACTTCCGTAGAGATGCCGCCTAGGAAACCCATGGAGGGGTCGCTATGAGTCGAATTGACTGGACGGCAATGAGTTTGGTTTTTTTGTTGTTGTTTTTGGCCTTCTAAACTGTGAGAGAATAAATGTCTCTGTGTGAAAGCCATTCATTTGTGGTATTTTTGTGATAGCAGCACTAGAGAACTAAGACAGATAATACTCTCATTACTCCTCTCACAGACATCCAAGGCTAAGAGAGTTTAGATTTAGGTGCACTGTAAATGCACCATTGACTCATGAGCCAAAACCAATCCTTTCCAACAACGGAGCCCGCCATCTTATTATCAAGTTGTGTGTTTGGTGTTGGATGAGGGTGAGGATGAAAGCAGACACAGTCCCCTGTGTCATGCGGCTGATGGCTTTCTAGGAGAGCAGTTATTAAACAAATAGAAGATGAAAACATTTCAAGTTGTACTTTGTAAAGGGACATATTCTGAAACATGAATTGACATGGGGTTGGTGTAGCTGCTTCCTGGACTGGCACTACAAGACAGAACAGAGACTAGGTCCTGCAGTAAAGGTGCCAACCAGACACCCTCTCCAGTATCTGCCCACCTCCTACAGGAGAGTGGATAAAAAAAAACCTGGAGAAAGAGCTCCAGGAAATCTGCAAAACGATTTGAGCTGCACAAACATGCTGTGAGATGCCATAAGGCCGAGAAAAGACATGATATTTGAAAAAGAACAATTATGAATAGGCTAGAGTAATTTACACTCACCCCAACGAAGCTGTCGTTAAAAGCTTTGAATGGGTGAAGATAAGCCACAAGTAAATTAACTGCCTGCCAGAGGCAGGCTCAACAGTCTTTAAAGGAAACACTAAAACATCCAGATAATCAACTATATAACATAATGCCCAGCATCCTTTCCAAAATTACTAAACATTCAAAGAAGCTACAAAATGTGAAACCTGACAAGGGCAAAAGCAGTCAACAGAGAAAGATCCTAAAATTATAGGAAAGATGAAATTTGAATGACCAGTGGCAGCCAACACAAGTCCATGGCTAAATGCATTTAGAATTAACAGGGTATCCCTGGGCAGTTAATTTATTTAAGGAGCTCTGGTAGCGTAGTGCCTAAGGCACTTGACTGCTAACCAGAAGGCTGG